ATGCCAGTGCTGATGAATGTCAAGCTACGTTACAGATTCGTTTCTTGCATTAACATCTGTACAATGTACCATCTAAGGCATTACCCTTCAGACTCTTAAATCTGTTATTTTAAATATTTTCATTGCACTCTAGCTTTGATTATTAATCTAAGAGGCAAAAAGTTAAACTGTATCTTATCTTCTTTGCCACTTGATAAGTTAAACAGCCTTCATACCTTAAATCCACTTTAATAAGGCATGCAATTATTAAAGCATTACAGAATGGCCCCAGAGCACACAAGCTCCATTAAATTTGCTTACATCTAATTACGTCTGCCTGAGGCAGGTGAGAAATTGACTCTGATAAGATCTTTCTTTTACCTGTAGCCAAAAAAATAAAAAAGAAAAATATCTCACAGTGATTTTCTATCTAATTGCTATCTACAAGTATTTATGGTATTCACTCCTTCAATGAATAGCCCACAAAGCACTCTTTGTGTGCTAACTAGTGCATTTTAAGTTTCTTTAAGACTGTAGAACACAAAAGACAAGCTTATCTTGTTTCAGGCACAAGACAGGTCATCAGTGATGTCTACTTGTGAAATAGTTTTATCATTTAAATAATATATTTTCTTTAACATTTTTCAAATAAATTTTAAACAGTATTTACTAGCTTCATTTTGTGTGTTTTTTTTTTCCTTTTCATAATTAGTTTTCTTCACTTGTACAAAATATAGTGAAAACAACCTAAACTTGATGAAAAATAATTCTGATGTGAAAAAGCATGTTACATATTCTTTGTGGACTTTTATTTTTTCCTTATGTCAGCATAAGCAATGAAAGCATTCTATTTTATAGAAAAATAACATAAATATAAAAATGTACTTTTCTGGGCCTTTTTTTTTTTTTTTTTTTCCCCAGTTTAAAAAAAATAGTGTCTTATTGTAGAAAAGACAGCATTCAACTCCTATATATTTGTAACTGGGCTTTCAAAATTCAGGAAAATACTACTAAATTACACTGCTGTAAGTGAATGAGGGAATATGGTATTAGTAATCATTCTAATCTCACTAGCAACCCTAGTGGATCTTAGAGAATAACACAGCAAGACCATCATAGTAATAATGTAAAAACAAATTAAAAATCAAACCAGCTAAAGAAGAACAAATAAATAAATAAATAAATAAAATTATATATTTTTAAAAAAAGTAGTCATGGAATTCTTCCAGTTTAAAGGGACCGTAATTCAATTCTTAGTTAATATTTAGGATACAATACTTTGTAAAGCATTCTTTAAAGAAGATAGACATAAGGAATTTGATGTGAAAGTTGCCTCAATAAACCAAATATTGGACTTCTAATGCAAGGTTATACACCACTATTTTTTAAACATACATCTTTAGCCACCGATGCCACTGATCCTCTTGTATCATACTAACCATTCTTCAGTCCAATGGACCACAAATCTATAGTCAACCGAAAAAGGAAAAGTCCTTTGGTCACATTTTACACTTAAGACCTCATTTTATATTCTTAAATTAAAAACTGCACAAAGCCCTGCAATGAATATATTGTACCATTAACAGGTTTCTTATGTGCTTCTTAGGTTTACAGAGCATGTCATTCCATAAGCCTTCCTATAAAACCTATTCAACCTCATCTTTACATTGAAATAATAAACAAACAGGTTATCTTCCATATTGATTTGCTTCACTATACAAAGCTCATTTTACATATTTGACAATGAAAAGACATAGATTTTCTAGTGTAGTAAACAACTACATTGTAAATACCATTTTTTTTAAGGCAACGATGAACTATATCTGTTTGCTATATGCTTTACCAACTCAAAGACTGTTGTTAAACAAAATGTTTTGGCCTCATATAATTACATCTTGTTTGATGTTAATTTGCTGTATTTCTATTAAAACTTTCACGGTTGTTTTATAATATTGTCTAGCCACCAGTCTGCATCATCTATAAATGACAATACTGTGAACCACTGAATTATGCATGCATCTTTACTGCAAATCAAAACCAAACTAGAACAAAAAAAATACAAGAGCAATTTAGTCAGATGCTAAGAAGAATTGCTTTCCAGTTTTCCAAGTCTACTCTAAGAATGAATTGCAAACAGACAAATTAATTATTCAGACATCATGACTGGTATTCAGCCATGTAATTTTTTTAAATTTTCTTGTTATTAACATTTCTTATCCTAAGATATGGAACAAAATCTCTGTTTTTCTCTGTTATATTGTGGATCTGTCCATGGGAAGTTTCAGTAGGCAATATTGCTCAGAATCTGAATACATACCAAAAGCAGCCACTTTTATTATTATGGCTTGAATGTTAGATGATATCATTTCTTTAAGCAATACTTCCTGGTTCCGACGCCAAAGGTAAGCTAAAGGCTGAAGATTAAGCCTTCTGCATCTTAAAAACAAAAAAATAGATAAAGCCAAGCATTATGCTTTTACACAGCATGAGTCATGTAAAATTAAAAAAAAAAATTCCTAAGTTTAATTTTTCTTCTAAAATTTTAATTACAATACTATTTCTAGATTTCAGTATATACAAGTCTAATATTAAAAAAAAAATAAGCTTGTTCTGGCTATAATTCATCTATGTAAGTAAGATATTAACTCACTGATATAAATAGCTGTGCATGGGAATGCAAGTAAAACCATGAGAAAACACATTCCTAAATATTTAGGGACACAAGCCCATTAACACCTTAGGAAGTGAACACTTTTTATGAACACAGCTTATGCAGGAGTTACTGCTCTATGATAAATGGGGCTCATGTCACCGGTACAATATGCTGAATTTGTTACACTGAACCAAGCTGTGATCAACACCCAAGGAAAATAATCACACAGGAAAATGTATACAGCTTGTGATACAAAGTAACAACTTGTTAATGAAAATGCAATTATTTGGTTTGATACATATCATATTGAGACACCATTTGATTGTTTATCACATCAGAGAATCACTAATTTGCACTACTGATAGGTAACCCTTCTGCAAACTGTCAAGTCCTATCAGTTGGTTGTAAAATGTGCAATAACTGGTTCCAGAAAAACTTAAAAACATTCAACTATGGGACTAGCGTCGAACACTCAAAAATTACATTTATTTGTCAATTACCATTTCTTATGTAATAGATGGGCTTTCTTCCATATGTTAGATAGATCCACTAGTATTAGTGTCAAGACTTTATAGTTAAATGGATGTTTAATGTCAACACATAAATTGATAGTACCCATGTAATCTGCTTAATTTTGTTATTACTTCCATATATTTTAACAGAGCACTAAGTTGTGAAATTAAGAGAAATACTTAGCAACTCTGAATGTGAAGTAGTTCATTTAGATGCCTAACTTTAGCTAACAAAGTAGCTGACTCCAAGTAATGGAGATGGTTTATGGGAAACAACTTTATTGCAAGGGGTGAATCTACAGATCAATGTAAAATTTTTTTACCACTGAGCAACCTTGGAATTAATCAGGTCTGTTTGAAATATGGCGATGTACTGTCAATCTTTTGGCTGTGGTAAAAGATGTGAAACCCACAATCAACAAAAGCAATCTTTTCTAAAATATCTAGTAACATGATCAGGCAGTCCTTAAGGCGTTTTAAGTGTAAGGGAAAATAAAAAGAAAGCAGCTATTTCTGACTGCAATTTACCCATGTAAAGCGTTAAAGAAAACACCCATGCTGTGTAGCTTGCTGATGTGAGTCAAGTTGGCACAGCATTAACTTCACCATTCTTACAGTTCATGAAGTATTCTAGATATTTGCTTTTATCAGCAACAAATAACTAATGAACTCATGAAATTAATATTAATTTTTAACACAAAGTGGTTTTGCATTTCGTGAGACGTACGTAGTGAAAATTTTTTTCTAGACCCAAATCAAATCCTGGCCTATACAACACACACAATTCCCACTATAAAATCTTTTTTTTTTTTTTTTTTTAAATAAGACTCTTAAAAGTATCACAGTCTATCTAGACTTAAAAAGAGCATGCACAGTAGAAATGACAAATGAAAACTCCTGATTAATGATAACAGATTTTAGATTTTAAGGAAGAAAAGACATGCATATAAGGATTTTCTTGTATTTAAACCCTGATAACAAGTCACAGAATGTTCTTCTGTATTAAAACTCTGTTGAAAAACAGAGATACCTGACCACAACACTGTAGTCACTGGAACTGAATGAGCTTTCAAGTTCAAATCAAAGATCTGAATCTCCTCAACTATTTTCATATCAAAACTCTAAAAGATCCATCAGAGACCTGAAGATCAATCAAAAAATGCAGTATAGTCTCTACTAGATTTTTACTAATGAACACATGGTTCCAGGGGAAAAAAAAAAAAAGGTATTTATATTAACAATTGAATGAATTTGGTATCATAGAACATGAGAAATAAAGAAACTGTCTCTGCTCCAGAATTTGAGTTAAAAAACAAACAAGTAAAGCACTTTCCAGAATGTCTATATTAATAAAGATGAATATTTTCTTACACATTTTCAACTCGAACTCTCTGGTAGTCAGAAAGAATGGCTCCCACAGATACACCCTCCACTCCTTCTTTGTCCTGAAAAAAGACAAGAAAAACTAATGATAGCAGTATATGTTGGCCTAAGCACCAGAGATTCAGCACCTCTACTAGCAGAATCAACCAAGAATATATCTTTTTCCCAGTGCCCAGTACATGGAACTGAAAGGACTGGAATGCAGATCCTGCACAGAAGAGAGCAGCACAGCTTTTCACATATCCAGAAGTAACAGCACTGCTAAAAATTAACTTTATTATCCAGACAATATTACTTTTTCTCCTCTTTGAGTTTTCTGTGCTACAAGGTTTCAAAGTTCTTTTCAGAATAAAGATAAATCACAGACATTTCAATTTACTCGGCTCACTTATCTAGAATTACATTTCTTAAAAAGTTAACACAGTTATGTAAGTAGAGTTTTCTTTAAATAGATTTAATAAAATTATTCGTTCAAGCCTTCTTGGATCTTCACATACATCTAAAATGCTTTTCCCATATTCCTTTGTTTCACGCAATTTTGATATGCAGTTTACCTGTACTGCTACAATTGCACTTAAGTTGCATTCTTCAAAGTTCGTTTTAGAAAAATTATGAAGTTAAGTCAAATAAACATCTTGGAAAACATGACAGTTAAGCATTGTTTGTTTGTATTTTTATATAAAAAGAATAACACTAACAATTCCTTCAAAATGTGCTTGTCACAATGTTTGGACATCATCCAATATGTACAAAACATCACCTGTATTTCTGCTTATGCATTCCTCAAAAGTAATATATCCTCAAAAGTAATAATCATTAAGTGGTCCACACACAGGATCTGTCCATGTTTCCAAGTCACCACACATCTTTGTGTGCAAAGGAATCAAGCAGCCTGTATCCCTTTCTGCTCAACACACTATAATATATTTGTAATGGAATCACAGAATCAGAATAGCTGGGGCTTCTTACATTTACAAAGAAACTTGGGACTCCTGCTGTAAGAATGTATCCAGACTATCAGAGACTAGGACAATATACAGTAATAAAACTGAAAGCCTTTATAGAAAGAGAAGTATTCAATTACAGAAAGGAAGAGGGGAAGGCAAAACCAGAAAAACACTGCAAAAAAGTATCCGCATTTATATGATCATAAAGCAGACCAGAGACTCGGGATGATGGCAAGGGAAGAGTAAAACAGATTTAGCCTATGAACCAAGGAACCATAATAAAATAAAAACCAAAACCATAAAGAACTTCTACAATCACCTCAATAGCCTCCCAGTGTTAAGGACACTGAATGTTCAAATTCTTTTTCATTACTACTACTTCATGCAAGGCAGCATAATACAAATGATACACCACATCTAATATATTAAGAATTGTGGGATATATGTGGGGTTTCTGCAGCTAGCATTACCATACTAGAAATCTGTTCAAACACTAAGTATTTATTACTTCATGGAACACACTAGGTTCAATGATCACAATAAAACAAGTAAAATCTGGGAAAAGGCAAAACAAATAATTATTCAGATTTTCTACTTATTGAGATTACTAGAATTGTTTATCTTTAATTAAGTTACCAGCAGGTGAATACATTAGTGTTACAGTCTAATAAACAGAGATGACTCTAATCCAATTTTTACTGGTTTCAGATTCCATTAAGACACAAATCAATTTGTTCTTATTAAGAACCATGTGCAACAGAAAATCACTAACGGACAGAATACCAACCACCAAACACTCTACATTTTTTAAGACTTTATGCACATACAGTAACAGTACAATTGACCTTTCTGGCTGAATCCATCACAATACGTTGACATCAAGACATGCTTAAATGGTAAGACTGTGACCATTCCTTTTGATTTCAGTAAGATTTTGCTATTAAGTTCTGCATGCTCCAATTTACAGGACTTTGCCAGGTAAAAATATCTTTTATGGTCACACAGTAAATAACTTTAACTATATTTAACTATATGTGTATATTATATATTTCATCTCACAGACATCTATCCCTATGTTCACTTGATATTTCTCTTTTTTGTAGTTGAAAAATACAGAATATACATTCTTGCAAAGCATAGTCCTTAACTGTTAACATCCAGAAAACAGTTTTGAATTTTCTTATAGCCCTCACTTAGTTGCGATGCAAAGATAAGCAATCTTTTCTGATCCATGAAAATGGCAACTCCCAGACTGCCATCACAGCTGCAATTAGTACTACCATCTACTAGAAGAATAACAGGAGTCAAAGGAATCAAATCACATCACTTAACTTTAATATTACAATACTTTTCTGATAGCAGGTCCATCCATAAGATCAGCCATAAAAATGCATTAATGATTCTAATAGTGAGGTATTTCAGGAAGAACTGTTAGAAAATAATTGGACATACTATTCGTGCAGAAGTGTAGAGAGGAAATGTTTAAGTAATTTTTCTAAAGTCCTTGCAAGAATAAGATGTACTATCTTTGAATAACATATTTTTTAAGAAAAAATGGTTCTGTTAATAATAAATGATTAAAACCAACTCTTTTTTTTTTTTTTTTTTTTTTTTTTAATGGACTCTTCCCTGCCACAGATTCAAAGACTAAGATATAAATGAACTTTTGGAAACACCATGTAGCAATGCAAATAATGCCTACAGTTGCCCTGGATTTCCTGTCTTAGAGCTCTGAAACTTACCCTTTGGCAAACAATAGTCATTACCATGGAACTAAATGGGATCTTATATTCTCACAGAAAATAAACAGAGGTGACCATACTTTGAAATTACTCCTGTTTAAGGACTTTGCATCACAAGTATCAATTTAAAAATACTGGTTTAACACACATGTTTTTAAGCTTTTATTGAGTATTATCAGCAGCAATAATTTTTCAAAAGTGGAACAGTTTGGAGCTCACTGATCAAGTACAGATTCCCAGCATCGGTACTTCTTAACAGTATCGTTTTATTTGCATCTGTCCATTGTGTGTAGTGTCATTACACTGTGAACAAATATAAGAGAATTTTAAGTTATTCTGAATTTTTATTCTTACCATAATTTTGAACAGTTAGGGTTACAAACTTTTTCAGCATAAAATTGTATTGCCATCAGTTCTTATATACAATAGGAGATTTGTTTGTTTGTTTGTTTGTTTTCCTAACAGGCTTGAAATATTCAGGGCTTTTTCTGACTATTTCTGTCAAAAAAGTTATAAATTAAGTTATGAAATATAAATTATAAATTAATAACTGAACACTTTTATAGTGTTTTATAGTAGCTGGATAGAGAATGATATTTAGGAAATGATATTCAGTACGTTTTCCAAACATTGAGGAAACTTCTCATCCAATGTTCTATCACAGATTTTTTCTATCTATTTCTTGATTAAAAAAAAAAAAAAAAGGGTGCTCAGATATTCTGGAAAACCAGACTCTAAAGACCATTTAATAACAACTTTCACTGTTCAGTTCTAAGTTACCAGAGGCAAACTATCCCATCAACTAAGTTCTGTAAGTAATGTTTTTGAAGTATCTAATACAAACAAACACAAGGCTATACAACTGTTGTCTCACAACTAGATTAATCTCCATGGCTACGTAAATAAAGATATCATACACAATTTTCCATATTCTTTTATCATAGAATCATAAAATGGTTTGGGTTGAAAGAGACCTTAAAGATTATCTAGTTTCAACTCCCCTGCCATGGGGGTTGATACTTTCCACTAGACCAGGTTGCTCAAAGCCCCGTCCAATCTGGCCTTGAACACTTCCAGGGAGGGGGCATCCAAACTTCTCTGGGCAACCTGTTTTATAACACATACACTTATCTTTCCTTGCTAAAAAAAGTAACATTTACTGTTATCATCATAATATTATATTGTTATATATATAACTTATAACATCTATAACACCATTATATATACTCTTCTTTCTCTAAGAATGGGAAATAAATAGCTGTATTGGAGATGTAAGAAGACAGTAACTATATCACATATGTCAAAAAGATGTGATCCTCATAATAAACAAATATGCAGCGAAATGAGTACCTGCAGGACTTCCTTTCACAATTTCCCAAATGTACGGATTTCACAGAATCTCCTGTTCATCCATGAAGATGGCAACTGACTTGCCCAATACTTTTTTAACAAGCTCACAGAGCAATAAACATGGTAATTTTTTTTAAATTCAGTTTTTCAAGTTCTCACAAAATATATACATCAGCAAAGATACTCAGTAAGAAAACTCCCTTAAATGACAAAGAAAATTACCCGGAAGTAGAAACTTAAGTGTCCTGTTCTTACAAAAACACAATAATACTACTTCTGTATGAAAATGAATTCTGCTCTACAGATCTATTTGTTTGGGATTTTAAAAAAGCTAACCCTGAATTTCAAAATCATCCTATGGTAAAGGAATTCAAAAAGCCATTATAATCCTTAAGGTCACAGAACTTCTATTAAACAACTGTTGGGACAATGGCCCAAACTTGAAATTTAAATATTGAGTATATTTCTCATAGGTTTTGTTTGGGGTTTGTTTGGTTGGGTTTTTTTTCAATTATACATACTTAGAACACATTTAGAGGGTGGATGTGCATGTGTATGAATGTGTGTGTGTATATATATATACAAACACATAAATATATATATAAAATATATGTACACATGCATATATATATATATGAAATATATATATTTCTATACATATATATATATTTCTATACATATATATGCATGTATGAGTATATAATATATATACTCATACATGCATATATATGCATAGAATATATCTTGAAGTTAGTAACAAAAGAACAGAAGACTGTCATTGGCTGTTTGCTGACAAGCTACATTAAATCTGATTTAAATAATCATATACTAGATGTTCTGCAATTATTCTAGTTTATTTCCTTTCATAGTACGTAAGTTTTAATCATGTTTTGAAATGGCAGTACATTGTGTCATTTTTCAGTTGTGGTTAGCATTCATGTTTAAAGACTTTTAACAGGGAGTTATTTACCATCATCACTTTTCATTTAGTTCTTCTGATGGTAAAGAGCAAATATAAAGTTC